TGTTAAAGTGTTAAAATCTCTTGCTGTCTTTTAGCACTATTTCAAATATGTTGGAATTGGTATTATCTGAAAGATAGGGGTTGCCATATAGGATCAGGTCAATTGTAACATTTTGATTAAGGTGGTGTAGATTATTTTTTAGAATTGTTCTTGGTGCAGAGTAGGCTGGACATATGAAAAAATAATGGTAATTATCTTCGTCTGCAGAATTACACCTAGGGCACACTTTTGTTTCACTAATAAAATGGTAGAATAAGTGATTATTTAAGTTACTAGCTTTATTTCTTAATTGGCAATGGATAATATTCTCTTTCCTATTTCCAGTATTATAATATAGTCGTGGTCTAATTAAAGGATACACACGTGAAAGGCCCAATTTGAATGTACTTAACGTTTGTGAGGTTTTAATATTTTCAGATAAGTTGTTCCAAAGTTTGGGGATCACGTGGCTAAGTGGGTAAGACGCTGGCTCGCTAGCCTGGAGGTCGGGTGTTCGATCCCTGCATTGGCCGAGAAAGTTCATCCAGATTTTCCGGCGTGGTTCCCCCTTGTCAGTGATGCAGGACGGAGGGCCTGACAAGGACAGCTGTCTAGACCTTCGGATGAGACGAAAAACCGAGGTCCCGTGTATATGTTGGAATGCACGTAAAAGATCCCCTGGCAGTTAGAATTCGATATAAGAGTAGTTGATAAAGCTGCTGCCCGGGCAAAATTTCCCCCATAGCACACTGTATGGCGTATGCCCGTCTTCATTAGCCCAGTATAGGAGCACAACAGTAGGACGTTAAACCCCATTTCATTTCATTTCATTTCTGTTCCAAAGTTTAATTGTGCAGGGAAAGAAACTATTAGAATATGAACTGGTTTTACAAAATGGTAGTTGTAATCCTCGTGAGATTTCCTTTGTGTGGGAACGTATGATTGACATGATTATGAACGTGGTTATAGTAGTGGGAACAAAACAATAAAACATACCGATTTTTATAGTTTTATCTGAATTGTTGTGATCAATTCAGTAGCTGATTCCGATTTAATGATTACATAAATTTTTAGTAAATAAGCTGTCCCAGAGTTAAATCGTAGTAAACGTTGCTCAAGGAGATGAGACAGGCAAATTAAACTAAAAACTGTACAAAATGACACTAGATATGATAGATAGCTGACAAGCAGAAGAAATATCTTAAAAATCAGAGCATCTTTATACTTTGCATCCTCGGTGTACTAATAAACTGATTATTATATCTTACTGTCCTCCACTAAAAAAAAAATTAAGAGATAGTCACGCAGAAGCTATATATGTCTTAACAGCAGCTTATCCGAAAGCAAAACTTATATGTTGACAAACTTTAATAAGGATCTAAGATCCTTCAAGAAATCTAATCTTTATCGTGTTCACAAGCTTTTCTAGACAAATATATCCCTGAACCTAGTAGATGATAACAGCCGCTAACAGGATCATCTATTAATTTTAAGAGGAGCCGCAGTGGTTCAGTGAGTAAGGCACTGGCTCTCTAGCAGGGAGGTCCAGGGTTCAATTTGATATAAGAATAGACCGCAACGCCAGTCAGTGCAAAATTTCACTCATAACACACTGTATGGCATTTGAGGTGTTCTAGATAAAATTTGCATAGAGTATTTTCACACATTATATGGTTATTAGTATATGTTCGCGAAAGAAATACAATTTACACTAAATGACGAGAGTAAAATCAGTAGTCTATATTCTGTCTGGATGTGATCGTGACTCCTCTGACAGGAACGACTCCTAACTTACATGTATACTAGAAATTCCCAAGACGTCTTCTTCCTTACTTTCTTTCAATTCTACTAATTGCGACTCTAAATTAAAATAGAATTACCAATACATGACAAAGCTATGGTGTCTGTTAACGGCCATATTCTCAACTTGTTGGGTTGTGAATGATTGTATTTTGGCGGCATGTCGGGTTGTGAACAACGCGATAAAAAACCCGAAAACCGTCGCCTTCATTTTGTTGATTTGTCGGGTCAACTCTATCTATTTTAACACAGCAATGGAAATATATTTCGTCGATTATTCTTAAGTTAATGCCATGTAAGAAGAAAGTGGACTTTTTCATTCACAGAGAAAAACTATCATCTAAAAATCTAAAGCTAAATCAACAATGTATATATATTCCCCAATTGCATCGCCATGTTTCAAACTGGTTCACCGGTGAATCAAACTGTGATTATATGCAGACAATATTCATTTAATATTTATTAACTAGGAGTGTTGTTTAAAGGAGAAGGGCGTGTTAGTTGACTGGGTTTCCACAAAGCTGGCTCTTACGCCTATGTTCATAAATGGAAAATTGTTTAAAGGAGAAGGACATGTTAGTTGACTGGGTTTCCACAAAGCTGCCTCTTACGCCTATGTTCATGAATGGCAAATTTGAGAGCTATAGTTGTTTGTATTTACATATGATTTGTAAACAGATTGTTTTTAAGTGACTGTAAACAGTAAACACATTATTTCTTAAAACAGATAATATTATAAAATTAAAAGTTAAATATGATAACCATGTTAATTAATGTTGGCAATAGTTTCATAATGCACTATACTATAATAACGATAATTAATAATATTAAGGCGGTGTGAAATTTCTAGCTCGCTTGCTTTTGGTTTTTCGTTCAGACCATTTGCAGGTGAATAGAAAACTACATCGTTTATTTAGTCTAGCAATATAGACTTGTGTTGTTCTTTTATTAAATCCTTGACGTTTGATTGAAAAAGTAAAATAAATATATGGACTTACTTCTCCATATGCAATGGTATTTGAATTTCGAGTTGATTTAGTTTTAACAGATCACGTGACATAGTCAGTCAATCAGAGCAATCTTCATAATAATAATATGTATTTTTATAATGCGCTATACTCCATCCATAAAACGCATGCCCAAAGCGCAACGCAAATGGGTCTCACAATAATAGTTTGAATAAATTAGGTGTGATTTGAAAACAGTGAAAGTTTCTGATTCTCTGATTTTGGATGGTAGTTGATTCCAGAGCCGAGAAGCCGCGACACTGAAACTTCTATCACCAAAGCGAATAAATTTCGTTCCAGGTATACCAAGGGTGTTCATATCGCACGATTGTAAGAAATACTTAGATTTGCTTTTCTCTAAAAGTTTAAATTAATATAATGGAGCCAGATTTACTTTGACATTTTATACCAGATTCTAGCTTCTATAACTGGTGATATTGTAGAGTTTTCAATATTAATCTAGCGACTGTATTCTGAATTTTTTGTAATGTTTTCATTAGTTGTGAGGACAGTCCATACACTGAATAATCAATTCGTGAAAGAACTAAGGACTGCACTAAAGTTTTAGCGATATCTTGTATAATAAGATGCCGGATGTGTCAAATACATCGTAGCAGATGCGACACAGCTAACTAACATGTAGATTCTGTGAAAACAAAGGTGAGGGAAAAACCGTTCACGGTGACAAAATTTAAGGTATGTACTAACCATTGGAGGAAATTAAATGGAAATGATAGGCTTTTTGCCGAGAAAATTGCTGATTTGTCGGACAAAAAACTTCAGGAATGTACAGACAAAGCACTGGGCTGTCATCTTCCATGTTACAGCGTTTTTCCGGCAAAAATAAAAATCTAAGGAGCCATAAAACGGTTTATGAAACATGCTGCCGATGAAACAAGCAGCTAAGATTACCCCCGCAAAAATAAAAATTAGTTTCGCATCATAGAACATTAATGTCCTCCGGCACCACAGCCAGTGAGAGAACATCCATTTTACCCAAAGTTAGCATTATTTGCAAAAAAATAACAGCGTTTGTGTATGACGTTGATAGAAATAGATGGGTTGGTACAGGTGCACTTACTGTTCTGAATAAAACATGTATGAATTGTTTCTGTACTGTTAAAATCTGTTTTAAACAAAACCAGATTAGGCTTGCATGGGCTCCTGGCTGAAAATGTACCAACAGTAAAAAGAAAGCATAATCCGACCCTGATATATAGTTGACAATGTGTCTCACAGGGTGATACATTCATTTATTTTCTACAGTCTGCCTTATGACACCATTCTATTTGAATATTTGCTAGCTTCTGTGACCATTACACATGTAAGATCACGACTCCTACTATGCAGCTTGGATGCATTAACAAGACACACTAGGATTATTTTTCCAGGGTTTATTCAACACTTCTTATACGATTGCCTTCAGTTCAGAACAACTGACAATGGTGCTAGACCCAGCTCTCAAACAAGTTTATGGAAAAGAAAAGCGTTCACTTCACATACAAATGCGTTTTTATTTCCATTTGATGAAATGTGTAAATTGTTAAAAATTATAATTAGCAACTTTCTCGTTGTGCTGGATGTATGCGTTTCTCTTTCAGGGACGAGTAACTGAAATATTTCCTCGTGAAAGACTTTTTACAATTTAATTTCCATGTTCCAGACCAAAGAAATATCAGTAAAATTGTTTATGTAGGGAACTTAACAGCAGGGGATTTCCATCAGAATTATTTACCCTCGTCGGTAACTGAGAATAGTGCTAGTAGGAGTGAGGATGCGACACTCCCAGCTTTTGATGAAATTCCAGTGAAAACACTGTATAATGCCGGAGTAAGATCAGTGTTTCCATCAGTCCAGTTTAATTTTTACTTTAGCTTAACTTTTTGGGGCAACTGAGGATCATATTGCCATTTTGTCAGGATTCGGTTTCTTTAGCATCTAATGGTCGAAAATTGACTCTTAAGACGTAATGTATGAGTTACTACTCACCATCTGACTGGTTCTCGCAGCTATTAACTCATAAATTAGGACATGGTGTTGTCTCATACAGGTATAAGTAAAGAAATGCATTTAGTTTATGCTTAAACCCCCCCCCCCAAAAAAAAAACAAACATCTATCAATATAAGTAATAGTCATTAATTTCTATTGATGTCACACATACATCCTACGTTTACAAGCCAGGCCATAACTCACGAAGATTTTTAGATAGTCGGATGGGCTTAATTACATATGTTAACTTTATAGAGATCTATATTATTGCCAACGATCTCGGTTGTTGTTCCTTTAACCCAACTTTATCTTCTAATTATCTGCAATAAAACAAAATGATATCACAGGAATAAACACCTTGTTTGCTACTTGTTGAGTTTTTATAAAGTTCTTTACATACTGCTCAAGTAAAGGTATCTTATATTAAATATATTAACTAAATGAAATGAAATGTGGATTGACGTCCCATTGTTCTGCTCCGACTGGGCCAATGAAGACGGACATACGTCATGGAGTGTGCTATGAGGGCAATTTTCCCCTGAGAGCAATTCCAACTCCCATGGGTTCATTTATGTGCACACCAATGTTCACACAAGTCCTGGGTTTTCGTCCCATCCGAACGGCTATATGTTGTACATTGCCTGCACCACTGACAAAGGGAACCACACCGGAAAATACCGGTGAACTTTCTCGGACGTCACCGGGATCGACCACGGGACCTCCAGGTTAGCGAACCGACGTCTTACTCAGTAAGACATCGCGACTCCAATATACTAACACAAAGATCATAAGGTACCAAATAACTAAGCTCAAAGATGAGTATATAATAAAGTGATTTATCCAAAATCTTCAGTTTGTCACAATATAAATATATTTAGGACTACTCACCCTCTACACTTCAGATTACCGATTGTATAATATGCGTACTCATGACTGTCTCCTGTCAAAACATTAAAAACATACTTTTAATATAAAGAGATATACGAATTGTTAGGATGTTATATCGCATAATAATAAAACAAAACTCAGCCGAAATAGTGATATAAATCATGGTAGGGCGTCACGTATTTTAACGCCATGCACGATGGGATTTTTAAGCAGCTTTTAACGACAATGCTATCCAATTAAACTGTCAGATTTGAAAGTGCAGTGCCGGAAATTAGCAGATGCACCCATTGTTTAATGAATGAAATGCTTTTCTAGCCCCCCCCCCCCCCAAAAAAAAAACAATAAATAAAAAATAAAAAAATAAAAATAAAAATCAATGACTACATCTCGGCATTGTGAATTCTCGAATCTCGGGGTCTGCCACGCCACGAATCCCAGGTAGATATTATTTAAAAACAAATACACTTTAAATGTAAATAGCCATTGAATAAACCCTTGAGAGAACACCAAGTTGATGGTGCGCATAGACTGGAATAACCAGACGCTATAAATTGGCATTTGGTTGAGACTCATGCCGTATTTCGCTGGACATAACTGATTCGAAATTAGAGTCAAAACGGAAACAATTGAATGGAAATCAGTTTATATACAATCCGATTACATTACTATATGCGTTGCGACACATTTGGGTCAATTTCTAGATCCCAAATATTTACCTTTTAGTAAATAAGTAACTATCTCATCGAATTCCAGTTGAAGTTCCTTAGTGCCGTGTTCGACAGGAGAAATGGTATTGGTTTCGTACAATAGTAGTTATGTTTCGATTAACAAGGTGTATAGTTAGGATGTACGGAGCGACAAACAGGAGACAAACATAGAAAATCGTTACTCAGTGTTGTGTTTGATAGGAGACATATGATTGCTTTCGTAAATTGTAGTTTTGTTTCTTTTAACAAGGAGTATAACACAGGGCATAGTTGGGGTGTAGAGAGTGACAACGGTTATGACCAACTTGCATCATGTAGTTTGTGCCACGCTTAGAAATTCGTTTGCACAAGAAATATCAGAAAGCCATTAGTCACGATGGATAACCACAAAAAGGGAAATGCCTTATCATTATAATACTCATTTAAATCATGTAGGCGTCAAAACGACTTGTTAAGATAATGAAAACATAATAGGAAATAAAATCTAGTTTGTCCTAAACATAAACAAAAGCCCATTAGACTATCACGGGATTGAATTCGAACTTTCGTGTGGGTGTACATGACAAAGGACTATGGGCAAAATGTCTAAAACAGTATACATACCCGTATCACCGACCAAGATAGCAGTAATTGGCAGGTCTTCTTTATATCGAATATATCCCTCATCGACTCTTGATACAGCATCATTCTTTTCACAATTACATTTTAAATCATCAACACAGGCATTATTAAGGTGACAAGCACAATCATTCTGACCCTTGACTCCCCCAATTAAATAAGTTGCTAATGTACCAGTACGTGTATTTAACCCAACATCTACAGTTATTTCAACACCATGACATTCAAATTTTATATACTGTTCACATTCAGCCGAGGCATCAACTATATTTATGATTTGTTGCAGATCAATATTGTAATTTATCGTTCCCACAAAACTTCTAGCTGCTTCATAACCTGTTACGTGCGTTCTGTCAGCTACACCATGACCTGTAATATAATATATAAAGTATTACATTATGTAATTTTGGCTTCATCATGACCTATATAATACACCTCATTGTCGACACCGTGTAGCAATATTATGGGCCCGCATAATATTGGTATTAAATTCATTAAAACGTTTCATTTGACATTACATAATGTAATGCTACATATATAATAACGGTGAAATGCACCGACAGTGACGCTATATATCTAGGTAACCAGATTAGAGAATAATCACAGCTAAGTTGCACCAAAATGTGCATGTACATCTCTATAAGGAAATCAGTATCTTGGTTGGTCAGTTTCTCCATAATTTTTTAAATTAGGCATGCATACTATGCATACATCTGGCATAATTTAACAAATCAAATAATTAATAAATAGGGGTATAAAATAGACCATTCGACATTCCTAGAGGGACAGTATGCAGATTTTTCAGAGGTTAGCAACTCTGACTAGAACTGGTTGCATGAGACCTAAAGGCTCTCCATTTTTGAATTATGCCTGTGCTTGTATTTGTTATATCATAGCTGTTACAAACTGTTGTATTCGAGATGCGTCCTGGTTAATGTAAAACGGAGTTTAGAAGAACAGTGTATTCTTGAGTTTTGTATTTGAAATCACAGCGTAGTGGTATTGGCGTCATATTTAAGTCCGTACCAAAGTCAAAATTGAAAGTCCATTTCGAAACGAGACATGAAACAAAGAATCAGCGACCGTGACGAAGGACATTGCCACATTTTCTTGCAGACATTTACACATTATGTTTTAATGTCTACACTGTGCACTATAACAAGAAATATGTTCCATTATGACCTATAACATAACTTATAATATGTTACTGTTAGTTGCTCTGGCTGCTTCATGGCCATTAAAATAACATATGTTACATTACGGTGTATGTGCTACACCTTGACCTATAATTTGTTGCATTATATTCTGTTGAATACACTATGACAAATTATATATACTGTATTATATACATTATGGACCATGCTAGAATAGCAGGGGCGGATCCAGAGGAGCCCCCCCCCCCAGCTCAGCTACATACAAATAATTGTTAAACAACACTTCTATGAGAAATTTCACGGTCGTGTGCTTTATCCTGTATTATCAGATCGTGGGATGGGATGAGGATTCAAAGCGCGAGATAATGATATAGACGTGATATCACAATTAATGCAAACCCCCGCCTGCAAAAGTTCCTGGTATCGCCCCTTAATATAACACATTTTAGTAGCTACACAGACAAGGTATAACTTGTTCTGTTGTCTACACTATGGCCTTTAATATATAACGTGCAAATGGGATAGGTCTGCAACGTTTATATACCTAAGGCTACGGGAGGGTGAATTCCCCGGCTGTACGTGACAAGGAGCAGGGTCGCCTGTCCACTGCTAAAGACCCCTACGCGCAAGCGGATTATTGAAATAAAATTGAACCATTATGTTAGTCCCCAAATGAACTAGTTAGTGTCGAGTGGACGTTAAACCCCATCTCTCTCTCTCTTCTCTCTCTCTCTCTCCCTTTCTCTCATAAGGCTACAGAAAGCGAGCTTATTCAAAATTAACTTTCCAATTTTCATTTTTAGCCTGCTTGTTTTATTCATTTAAATATTTCCCACAAAGCACACTGCCTTGAGTATGCCCGTCTACTGCCCGTCTACATTAGCCTGGTTGGTGTAGGAAAGTAGCACGTTAAACCCCATTCGCAAACTAATAATGTACTCTTGTATTGGATTCCGATCGGATGTTGTAGCTTTATTATTGGGACATTACGCTATACCATACCTAAGAATTGAGAATTGAAAACAATATAATTTCCCCTTTCAGTTCACATGGTTATTAATTCCGTAACGTGATTCGTTTAGTTCTCCTCGGGATATTAGTACATGTATTTTCCCAGATGATTCTCTTTTTAATAAGAGGGCTCTATATATTCCTGTTTCTCACCTGATTTAGAGAGTACTGCTTGGGGTGATTTTCATTAGTTGTGCCTATATTATATAACGATTGCATTTCCGCATTAGTTTGTTCCAGGTGATACATGCCCTTTTGCTTACAGTTTCTAGCTAGTGACGTGGGTAATGCGGATAGATTCATTATTATGAGTATTATGGTGTATGTTACATAATGACAGATGTTATAGACGCTTCGTGCCATCTTGACACGTGAAAGTGGAACTGATTTTAATATCAACCTGTCTTCTATCGACACCCATGGTGTTCCTGATGACATTCATTAGTCATTTTCATAATATACTCTTAAAAAAGTAGGGGATATTCAGAAACAATACAAAACTGCGGAAATGCACTGCTGTTTTTATTAGAAGTAACCAGTGTATGTTAATAACAGGCCAATTGCCTACACATGAACATAAACAGTTCATATGGGCGGCTTATCTGACGGCCCCATTTCACTCGCAAAGAGATACAATGTCAAAAGTTAAAATAAACGTTTTTTTTTTGTCTTAATAATGAGTAATTGCTCCATCAATCCTCAGACATTCAGCAATTCGTCTTGGCATGCGCTTAATCAACCGTCCAATCACGATTTGGGGCAATCTGACCAACTCCTCTTGCAGTGCCACGGCCAATTCTTGCAGTGTTGTCGGTTGACGTTGACGTCGACGAACAAGTCTCCCGATCAAATTAAACGTGCTAAAGCAAAGATATGCTTAACCGTAAATCTTATGCAAGAACCGATAGGAAAGCAAACATGGATAGGATAAACCAGCAAGCGGCAGTTTTCATCAATCCTTCCTTGAAGTGTCAAATTTAACAATGAACCCCTCCCACGTGTATGGCGGTATTGACTGTTGCACACGCAGCTTAATGGTTCTGTTGGGGCGATAAGTTCTTCATCTGTGAACATACTCTCAAAGCATGTCAAGTGTCCATGACTATTATCATATCACAACCTGCATAGGTATTTGCATTTCAATATCCCCTACTTTTTGGAAGAGTATATAAACTTATGGTTGGCCTGTTTTATTTAATTTCCTTTGTGTCATAAGCCATCTGTACTGAATGTTACATCTAATATGATGCGGTAGCCAGATGTGTAATGAGATCCCTTTTCTAGAAGGCTTTATAAACCCAAAATGGAATCGAGATCGGAAGACGAGACGAGAATAGGCGAGTGTGTCTAGAAGTTAACACGGGACCAGGCAGGTCTCGAGTAAAGACCGGAGTGCGGCCATGTAAGTTAGTTGGGAGTTGGCACACAATGGTGCCAAGCTAGGACCATGGCTCTCTCGAAACAAGCTAATTATGGGGTCTTTAAGATGTTTGTACTTGATATGTTAGAGGCAGACTAAAAGTATTGTATGAAGTTTAAACCAGTGTAATGTACCATAGACTGTTGTAAGTTATTTGCGTGGAGGTGCCACTTTTGGTACTTTAGAAAGAAATATCAAATAATATAGTAAGTTAATATCTTTATAAAATAGGCAATTGTATAATTTAATTTGTAAGTAGTAAATTTCCTAGTATATATGGCATCTAATTGTTTTTATATTGTTTCTAAGTGTGTTATTGCTACTACTAAAAGGTGTATGGTTTTTGGTCTTCTGTATTTACCCGTCAACCACCTGTTCCACGGTATGTTTGATATATATCTTTATTTATATCTTTCAGCTATCTACAGCCTTCAATACACTTATAGGATGTTATGCATGATAATTCTTCGAATTTGCAACTGGACACACCATTCAATATGTCTGCGCACGCAGTTCACTTCTTTGTAACTTAAAATATACAGAGTCTATGAATAACATTTCCAATCACACGACAATAATTTAATATAACCCACAAAGAGCATGATCTGGGGGATTTCATACATGAGTAATATCTGATGTTTTCTGTACACACGTTTATGGCATCTTCTCCTTCCCATTTTTACGGTGTATGTGCTACACCTTGACCTATAATTTGTTGCATTATATTCTGTTGAATACACTATGACAAATTATATATACTGTATTATATACATTATGGACCATGCTAGAATAGCAGGGGCGGATCCAGAGGAGCCCCCCCCCCCCAGCTCAGCTACATACAAATAATTGTTAAACAACAATTTTATGAGAAATTTCACGGTCGTGTGCTTTATCCTGTATTATCAGATCGTGGGATGGGATGAGGATTCAAAGCGCGAGATAATGATATAGACGTGATATCACAATTAATGCAAACCCCCGCCTGCAAAAGTTCCTGGTATCGCCCCTTAATATAACACATTTTAGTAGCTACACAGACAAGGTATAACTTGTTCTGTTGTCTACACTGTGGCCTTTAATATATAACGTGCAAATGGGATAGGTCTGCAACGTTTATATACCTAAGGCTACGGGAGGGTGAATTCCCCGGCTGTACGTGACAAGGAGCAGGGTCGCCTGTCCACTGCTAAAGACCCCTACGCGCAAGCGGATTATTGAAATAAAATTGAACCATTATGTTAGTCCCCAAATGAACTAGTTAGTGTCGAGTGGACGTTAAACCCCATCTCTCTCTCTCTTCTCTCTCTCTCTCTCTCTCTCCCTTTCTCTCATAAGGCTACAGAAAGCGAGCTTATTCAAAATTAACTTTCCAATTTTCATTTTTAGCCTGCTTGTTTTATTCATTTAAATATTTCCCACAAAGCACACTGCCTTGAGTATGCCCGTCTACTGCCCGTCTACATTAGCCTGGTTGGTGTAGGAAAGTAGCACGTTAAACCCCATTCGCAAACTAATAATGTACTCTTGTATTGGATTCCGATCGGATGTTGTAGCTTTATTATTGGGACATTACGCTATACCATACCTAAGAATTGAGAATTGAAAACAATATAATTTCCCCTTTCAGTTCACATGGTTATTAATTCCGTAACGTGATTCGTTTAGTTCTCCTCGGGATATTAGTACATGTATTTTCCCAGATGATTCTCTTTTTAATAAGAGGGCTCTATATATTCCTGTTTCTCACCTGATTTAGAGAGTACTGCTTGGGGTGATTTTCATTAGTTGTGCCTATATTATATAACGATTGCATTTCCGCATTAGTTTGTTCCAGGTGATACATGCCCTTTTGCTTACAGTTTCTAGCTAGTGACGTGGGTAATGCGGATAGATTCATTATTATGTGTATTATGGTGTATGTTACATAATGACAGATGTTACAGACGCTTCGTGCCATCTTGACACGTGAAAGCGGAACTGATTTTAATATCAACCTGTCTTCTATCGACACCCATGGTGTTCCTGATGACATTCATTAGTCATTTTCATAATATACTCTTAAAAAAGTAGGGGATATTCAGAAACAATACAAAACTGCGGAAATGCACTGCTGTTTTTATTAGAAGTAACCAGTGTATGTTAATAACAGGCCAATTGCCTACACATGAACATAAACAGTTCATATGGGCGGCTTATCTGACGGCCCCATTTCACTCGCAAAGAGATACAATGTCAAAAGTTAAAATAAACGTTTTTTTTTTGTCTTAATAATGAGTAATTGCTCCATCAATCCTCAGACATTCAGCAATTCGTCTTGGCATGCGCTTAATCAACCGTCCAATCACGATTTGGGGCAATCTGACCAACTCCTCTTGCAGTGCCACGGCCAATTCTTGCAGTGTTGTCGGTTGACGTTGACGTCGACGAACAAGTCTCCCGATCAAATTAAACGTGCTAAAGCAAAGATATGCTTAACCGTAAATCTTATGCAAGAACCGATAGGAAAGCAAACATGGATAGGATAAACCAGCAAGCGGCAGTTTTCATCAATCCTTCCTTGAAGTGTCAAATTTAACAATGAACCCCTCCCACGTGTATGGCGGTATTGACTGTTGCACACGCAGCTTAATGGTTCTGTTGGGGCGATAAGTTCTTCATCTGTGAACATACTCTCAAAGCATGTCAAGTGTCCATGACTATTTATCATATCACAACCTGCATAGGTATTTGCATTTCAATATCCCCTACTTTTTGGAAGAGTATATAAACTTATGGTTGGCCTGTTTTATTTAATTTCCTTTGTGTCATAAGCCATCTGTACTGAATGTTACATCTAATATGATGCGGTAGCCAGATGTGTAATGAGATCCCTTTTCTAGAAGGCTTTATAAACCCAAAATGGAATCGAGATCGGAAGACGAGACGAGAATAGGCGAGTGTGTCTAGAAGTTAACACGGGACCAGGCAGGTCTCGAGTAAAGACCGGAGTGCGGCCATGTAAGTTAGTTGGGAGTTGGCACACAATGGTGCCAAGCTAGGACCATGGCTCTCTCGAAACAAGCTAATTATGGGGTCTTTAAGATGTTTGTACTTGATATGTTAGAGGCAGACTAAAAGTATTGTATGAAGTTTAAACCAGTGTAATGTACCATAGACTGTTGTAAGTTATTTGCGTGGAGGTGCCACTTTTGGTACTTTAGAAAGAAATATCAAATAATATAGTAAGTTAATATCTTTATAAAATAGGCAATTGTATAATTTAATTTGTAAGTAGTAAATTTCCTAGTATATATGGCATCTAATTGTTTTTATATTGTTTCTAAGTGTGTTATTGCTACTACTAAAAGGTGTATGGTTTTTGGTCTTCTGTATTTACCCGTCAACCACCTGTTCCACGGTATGTTTGATATATATCTTTATTTATATCTTTCAGCTATCTACAGCCTTCAATACACTTATAGGATGTTATGCATGATAATTCTTCGAATTTGCAACTGGACACACCATTCAATATGTCTGCGCACGCAGTTCACTTCTTTGTAACTTAAAATATACAGAGTCTATGAATAACATTTCCAATCACACGACAATAATTTAATATAACCCACAAAGAGCATGATCTGGGGGATTTCATACATGAGTAATATCTGATGTTTTCTGTACACACGTTTATGGCATCTTCTCCTTCCCATTTTTACGAAAAATGATAAAATGATAAAATGACGGCTCAGGGAATTAAGATTGCTGAATGCCTTTTCACCTGATTGGCTAATGGAAATTGCTTAGCTCTGCTTAGCTTTAGCTCGAAATGTTAATCATTGAACTCAGTCAAGACATTCACCTAATGAACATCTACATCAAGTTTAAACATTCTACCCCAATCAGAGTTGTTATGTTCAATAGTCTTGACCAATCAAATTGCTTATCTCTCCGTAGCCTAAGCAGCAAATTCTCATCATCGAACTTAGTCAAGGTCATGATATAATGAATCTATACTCGGAGTTTCATCACTCGCACTCAATAATAACCAGTTATCGTGCCCCAAAGCATCAACCAATCAGATTGCTTATGTCTGCTTACCGTAAGCCGACAATGTTTATCATCGAACTAGTTCAAGGCATTCACCTAATGAACGCCTACACCAAGTTTGAACATTATATCTCAATTAGAAGGAGAGTTACTATGTTCCAAAGTCTCGGCCAATCAAATTGCTTATCGGTCTGCTTACACTGAGCAGAAAGTGTTCATTATCGAACTTTGTCAAAGTATTGTTATTGATGTAATAAAACTATACACCAAATGTCCTCACTCTCACTAAATTAGGACTAAAGTTATCCTGTCCCAAAGCATCAACCAGTCAAATTGCTTATCTCTGCTTACCCCAAGCAGAGAATGCTCATCTTCGTACTCCGTCAAGGCCTTGACCCTAATAAACACCTACACCAGGTATGAACATTTTACCTCAATTAGAATGAGAGTTATTGTGTTCCAAAGTCTCGGCCAATCAAATTGCTTATCGCGCTGCTTACCCTGAGCAGAAAATGCCCGTTATCGAACTTAGTCCAGGTATTGATGTAATGAAACTATACACCAAATTTCATCACTCTCACTTAATTAGAACTAAAGTTATCGTGTCCCAAAGCATCAACCAATCAAATTGCTTATCTCTGCTTACCCTAAGCAGAAAATGCTCATCTTCGAACTCCATCAAGGCATTGACCTAATAAACACCTACGCCAAGTTTGAACATTCTAGCTCAGTTAGAAGGAGAGTTATTGTCCAAATAAGTGTGACGGACAGACAGACAGACGGGCGAACCAATTTTAATAGTCCCCTGCTTTCTTCGAAATTCGGGGGTGAAAATATGTAAGCACTATCGTGTTGACAAGTTTTCGGAAAAGGCGGGGTGGGGGGATGTTTCCGGAACGGAAGTTTACAGAACATTGATGGGGTTCGCCCTCCCAGTATCCCAATAGCTCGCATCACATCAAATTTAAAGATAGGTTGCCAGGCAACGAAACATACGCCCACAACAGCTAAATCGTCCGTGCAGTCAACAAGAGTTGTTGCATATCTTTACTTTTTTCGGTAATGAAACATTTATAATACACTAAAATCTGATTAAGAGCAACAACTCATGAAGTAATTATCAGAAAACCATTAGAATTTGTTTGTTTTTATAAAGTTCTGCCCCATGCTAACGTTTTGTATACAAAACTTTTAATATCATGGATTTAGCTGTTCAAGACATAAAAATTCATTGAAAATCAATATACTTGTTCGTCTCAAGATCTTAAACTCTGTGTATCAATCTGAAGTCAATCAGATGATAACTTTAGCCTTTAGAGCATCACAAAGTGATCAAGGGCCATAACTCACGACCTTAAACACTGTGTATAAATTTAAAGTCAATCGGATATTAACTTTGGCCTGTAGAGCGTCCACAAGATTTTTCAAAGTGATAAAGGGCAATAACTCTGGCAATTATTATCGGAAATCGCTGAAATCAATAGGCTTTTTCGACTCAAGACCTTAAACACTGTGTATAAATTTAAAGTCAATCAGATATTAACTTTGGCCTCTAGAGCGTCCACAGGCAATTGTGGACGCCGGACGGACGGACGGGGGCGACGACAATATACGACCACATTTCAATGTGGGCGTATAAAAACGAATCCGTTAACAAGGTTTTCGACAAAGGGGCAGTAACTCTGGAATAACGACGAATTTGACTGTAGCGAACCGGCTTACAGGAACGATGACATAATACGCTCACATTAAAATAATATTTACCTATAATAGTATAAACACCACTGGTGGTAATCTCACAAGACACCGTCACAGCTGGTAGATTTAGATCCGGTTTGATGATTACGGTTGGTGTAACTGTTACTCCAAGATTATGTGCTTCTTGGCATGATCTGGCTATAACAATAAAAATATATACTTGAAATGACGCTTCTTTAAATATAATAATCCAACAGTACCGCGTCCCCCACATCCCTACACACACACCTTCAAACCAAAAAGAAATAAATAACATCCATTAATTAATTGCATATTTATTTTTTTGTAAAGCATCTATCAATCAAATTGCTCATTTTCAAACTTAGACAAAGTTTCGGTGTGATGAAACCAGTGGCTGGCAGGTCTAGAGCAGACCATAGTGTGGCATGTGTCAGTCGTCATTCACCCGGTTGTGCAGAAAAGTAAGACCTTAAATACCATTTTAAATTTTTCAAGCATTTAAAAAGTACATTTAATTGTTGCACTGCTACTTCTCGCCTACTAATACATCCCCATCGGTTAAGAAAGAGATGGAAAATAACGCTTGTTTTATTTGTATACACTCGTTTTTTTTTTTTAGTTTTTCTTTATTTTGAAACTTACTTGCTTTACATGTAAATGTTGGAATTTGCCATTCACCAGATGGAAGGCATCGAGCCTCGGGTGAACCATCTACATAACAACCCTCCGGTGTACATGCGTAGTTAACTTTAGCACCAGCAGGATATGTAGGTTGCATTAATTCTGGTGATGCGTTTTGTCTGGTAGGTAATGACCCACATCCTGTAACAAATAATAATTATTTATTCGTAATAAAGTAATTATTGTTGTGTTTGCAAAATAATGGTTAAATAAATGTAGCTTCCGTTATTTGAATGAATATTTTAATCATTGTTTACAGACAAATGGATAGTTATTTGAACCCAGTTACATTTTACTTAAAATATTTTTACGGTCAGGTCTTAGGTCCAATGATTTCTTCCCTGTTTCTGACAGGACTACAGATAAAATAAATAATTTGTACTTACTTTTGTTACTGATGTAAATATTTGTGTTCGAATGTTGATTATAAACTTCATCAGTAATATCTCTATCATACAGATAGCATTCCCCGCTCTGTTCGTTAAACGCAAATGCCACACAGTATAGTTCGAGTTCACATTCCAAACCACACAAAGATCGACTCCCAACAGATGTCATTCTTGTCCAACCGCTTGCTAAAACATTATGGTTTTCGGACACATATTTTATTTCCGCGGGTTCACAACCAGTAGCAGTCATTAAACAATAAATTTGAACAAATAAACACAGTAAAAATAGTTCAGCATATTTCGACATGTTACTTTTCCAAAGTTTAGTTTTCTCAATGAAATGATTTACAGGTCGTATACCTTATATTCCCCATGGTTGTGTAATATTTGTCATATCACGAAATGCATTAAAATAATCAATACATACAAAGAATATTAATGTTTTGATATTTTAATCAAGTAAACATCTCTGTTGCTAAGTAAAACGTGTGTTCTTTACCCGTAAATGAATAAGTAGATAAAATATTGATAGATTATTGTTAACTTTTTCTATGAGATTTCTTGTTTTCAGAAAAACTCATTCCTTGGAGTAGCCATAGCTTTTTGATGTCAATTAATATCATATCGATCAGTTCTTGTGTACAAATAAAACAGTACGGGGTTTCTGGTTTTGGGACAATCTTGAATTTAGTGGCTTGATTTCAGATTATTCTAGCCATCGTGTGTCTCCAGTTAGCTATGACGTATTCCTCATATTTATACATTATAATAAAGTTTTATCTTCGTATTCACACATATTACATTACAGTTGTACATTATAAAAGCCTTTAATTCTCGTATTCATATTATATTACATCATATTTATACATTATAGTAACTTTGCGTGGTTGTAACAAAGAGGTAACAGTTTCTGGGATAATTTTCAGATTAAATCAAGAGTCAGTGATCTCATTTTGTGGCATTGCCTTTCAAACATCTGGCGTAGCCGTTGAACAATGGCAAAATAGCGATTGGCGTACAATCAGTGATATATGAAAAATAAACAATTGTCAGTGATATATGAAATTACATATGAAAAATAAACAATTTCAGATTAATCCGACTACAGACAGTATCTGTTGGAAACTACATTAAAGAAAACCATATGTTGTATTTTTATGAGGGAATTGGCAGGCAGACTTGATCATTTCGGTTCTCGAGAGAGAGAGAAAAAGAGAGAGAGAGAGAGAAATGGTTTAACGTCCACTCGACACAAACTAGGTCATTTCGGGACTAACATATGGTTAAATTTTATTTCAATAATTCGCTTGCGCGTAGGGGTCTTTAGCAGTGGAAGGAAACCGGAGGGCCCGGAGAATATCCTTGTCAAATTTCGGTCGAAGCTGTATACATAATGCACTTACAAAACATCTATGTCGTCAAACTTCTAATTATCACGTTTTGAAAGGGTGTGTCCACTGCATTTGCATTTATTAACGCTCTGATATCCAATATCAACAACATTTACTTTTAAAAGTATATGTAATGAATACCGTGGAGATTGCTTTGATCAGGGAACGAATCTGTTCAAAGGGAATTTATATTTCTTAAACAAAACTTTATTTACGTAACAGTGTTCCACTGTATAAGTTTTTAAATTACAATTTAAATTGCCGTCCCATATTTTATTAACAAACGGTTGTCATGCAAGACACAACCACATTTCGGTAGAGATAGACGGAGAATACACTGTAATATTCCAGAATAACTTGAATATTAACGGCATTGTTCTGTTAATTCACATAGTTATACTGTTGGATTCGGTTAACGCGTGCGCGTCGCAGACTTAATTTATGTCGGTGAATGTTTGAATGTGTGCTGACCATGCAGAATAAAGAACAGGGGAAAACCAGCAATAGGATGTGACGGTAAGTCTTCCTAATAATATGTATGTGTGAAGGCAAATCTTCAGCATAGGTAGATACTGATTATGTTATTGGATTTAAAGACACAGCTCTCTGTACTGTCTGTTCAGTTTGCTGCAAATGTGGCCATGCAAATGTATGTTGTATTGTGAATTTGAAATCGACCAAGTAAACAATATTAAAGTGTAAGAAACGCGATGGTTCAGAGAATATGATGCTGGATTATTGACCATTAGCCAAGAAAGCTACCCGTGCTTATTTTGCAACTTGCCCATGACATATGCAGGAAAGTTAACACCTTTCGATTTCATGTCCTGTATGTGCTTCATCATTTTATTTCAGGTTTGTATTGAAGGTAACAAAATTTGCAAGAAGAGAAAAAGACGACAGAAAGTAGTAAACCTGGCCTTCAGAAATCACAAAATTTGAAGCCATTTAAGATTTCTTGCTCTTAATTTCTGTTCATTTTTAATATTTTTGTACATGTTTGACTGAAAAATTACATTTACAGAAAATAAATTATTATTTACAATGATTGTGTTTTATATTTAACCAACATAATTATGTTAAAGAACAGAAAATCTTCTGGCAGAAGCCCTAATTTAACAACGAATAATTCTGTAAACCAACAGAAAAAGTTCTGGCAGCTGGTTTACCAGATTTTTTCTCTGTATATTCCCTGTTAAAAAAACCCAGAATAAAGGTAACAGAAACAAAAATTCTGATAAACCAGCTACCTGAACTTTTTCTGGTTTCTAACAGAATTATTTCTTACAGTGTAGGGAAAATGGATAGGACTCATCCCCTCATTGTCCTAATGTTTGACGTCTGTAGCCTCTATCGCGATCACGAGGTCTTCATACAAGAGGCATAACGAAAGAAACAGAAGGCCGCGAAACGCCGAAAATCGATACGGTTCTTCCTCTCATGACCCCAATGCTTCACATCAAGTTTTAAACAAAATCGTGTTCACGAGGTTTTTGGCAAAGAGTGTGTAACTCTGAAGCACAAGGTCGCGGAATGCTGAATATCCATTGGATTCGACCAAATGTGAAAAATATCTATATAGCATCTATCCCATTCACAAGGTTTTCGGTAAAGGGGTGGAGATTCAACTATTTAAATAACCAAATATTTTCTCCTTTCGTGTCATATTATCTGAATCGTGCATTACGTGTATGTCTCTATTGTGTCTATTTAAATCATCGAATGCAGTAGTCCTTGCTAACTTTCACAATCTGGCTTTCAATTTTAATTATTTAATTGGTTTTAACTAAAATGGTTTGGAAACTGAATAAATTAAACCATCGATGCAAGACTGTGATTGGTCGAAACAATCACTTTAAGTACGAGTTTGTACTTAAATTGATAATAGTAATTTGGTAGGGCAGTATTACACATTTCAGCTTAGTGGATTATCAATAGCACCCTGCCACGGATGGATGCTTTAGTGTATGATACGAGAAATATATGTGTTATTGGTACTGCCGGTAGTAGCAGAAGCAATTACTCGGACGGCCATGCAGGTGCCGTGGGTATCAGATGCTACATTCTGCATTGTATTTCTTGTCTTTTGAAAGTGAATCCCCCAAAGATGAAGTTCAACTTCAGTGATAGTTTGTGGACAACGGTAACTTCTTTCAATTATATTTCGAGTTACATTCCTCCACTTACCAAGTTGACATGGTGTTGTTATTGTCGCAAATATAAAATATGGCTGTTTATTAATATGTGATGATTTGACGAGCAACGTGAAAAGGGGAAAATATTTAAATAGTCCACAAGAATGCATAAGCTTAAGTTATACCAAAACATACGCCAAGTCGCAACGTAATTTGGTGCATGGGCAACAAACTAGGTAGCCAGATATTTGTATTTATATACACCACACAAACTGCTTATCGTTAACAGAACAAGTCCGAAAACTGTTAAACAGCTTTAAAAATGCATTGATTACGAAAGCTGCAATAATCATCAATGTAATAAATTTTAAAAAAAGCACAGTGAGCAAAACATCGTTCGTTCGTTCCTGGAGTTTTACTTCCACTTCCTTCAAGGATGATATCGTAGACAAGCTTGATCCAGCTTATTTGGATAAGACAAAGTGTGTTAGCATGGAAGCGCCCAAGGTATATTTCATCCAAAGGAGGCTCTTCGGGTGTAACAAAAGAAAGAATGGCGAGCGTGCGCATTC